CAGCGAGTACGACTACGTGAGCTACCAGTCCGACCTGGGCGCCTACCAGAGCGGGCGCTTCTACCCCAAGCCGCACCAGTGCGTGCCGATCCCCGCCGACCTGCGCCTCTGCCACAGCGTGGGCTACGACAAGATGGTGCTGCCCAACCTGCTGGACCACGAGACCATGGCCGAGGTCAAGCACCAGGCCAGCAGCTGGGTGCCGCTGCTCAACAAGAACTGCCACATGGGCACCCAGGTCTTCCTCTGCGCCCTCTTCGCGCCCGTCTGCCTGGACCGGCCTGTCTACCCCTGCCGCTGGCTCTGCGAGGCCGTGCGCGACGCCTGCGAGCCTGTCATGCAGTTCTTCGGCTTCTACTGGCCTGACATGCTCAAGTGTGACCAGTTCCCCCAGGACGACGTCTGCATCGCCATGACCACCCCCAACGCCACCGAGGTGGCCAGGCCCAAAGGTGAGCCCCTGCCCCGGCCCCGCTGCCCTGCCGTGCCCGAGGGGCTGGTGCTCCCGGGACCAGCCCGCGGGCGTGCTCCTTGCTCCCGGTACGGCTGCGCTTCTTGAGCACGGGGGCACTCCGGTACCCAGACCTGTCTCCCTCCGTGTGCTGGCGGTGGTGCAGGGGGCAGGCGGTGTCTCTCTTGGAGGAGCCCGATTTCACAGATCCACAAAACAATGTCACCGCCGGAGCGGGGCAGCAATATCCTTTGTGCCTGCCTGCCTGGGGAGATGGGGAAAGGGAACAACCAGCCAGGCGCACGCTCTTTCCAAGGGGGCCTGCAGGGCTTATTTCGGCACGGAAAAACCATGCCAGAGGCTGCCGAGGTCTGGGCTGCAAAGCTGGACGCGCTGCTGTTGTCTGGAGAGAGGGGCAATGGCTTTGAGCAGGCAGGTTTCTCAAAGGCAGAGAGGCTCCCGGCCAGGTCGGCTGGGCGAGGTGCAAGCAAAGCCGCTCGTCGGGCTGCGCTGGACATGCCGCCGCGCGCTGCACGGCAGGAGTTGTGCTGACACTTAGCTCTTTACCTAAAACTTTCTAAGCAGACGCGCAGCGCTGAGTCGTGCCGTCCCTGGGATGGCTTTGGAGCTGGCAGCCAAGGGGGGGGCCAAGGAGAGGAGACAAAGGGCTGGGACGGGGATGCCGCTCTCCCCCTCCTGTCCTTTGGAGGGGACAAGCGGGCTAGATTTTGCCGATGGCACAGGCATACGGCTGCTCTGCAGCCCAGGGACGGCATGGGGCTAAGTGGTCCCAGTGCCTTTTATCCTGTGCATCCAGGGCTTGTGGGGAGAGAGAGCTGCATTTGCAGGAGTGCTCAAGCCCAATTACCTTTAGCAAACAAAGTGCTTTATGTTCTACGCTGGGCTGGGAGCCCCAGCCCTGGCCCTGGCCCCTGCCCTCTCCCCGGCCCGCCTGGCTTTCTCTCCAGGGCTGGATAAAGTTTCGCTACTTTTCCCAGCAGAAATTGTGCAGTGCAGAATCCTCCTGTCACCATGTCCCGGCTCCTCTCGAGGGTCTGGGAGCGAGGAGTGACATCCGCAGTGTGCCTGCAGGAGGCAGGGGCATGGGCAGTGTGCAGGGGTCCGGAGAAGTGGGTGTGGGACAAGCGGTGTGACCCTGGTGTGGGGGGTGGAGGGGTGATGGGCACTGGCATATCCACACAGAGAGCTATCCCCCGCATGGGTCCCAACCAGCTGGCCAGCGCAGGGCATTGCAGGGTTCGTACCCGCACTGCAGGGACTCGGGCAGAACAAGTGTCCTGTGCCCTGGAGTGCAGGGAGCTCCTGCACCACCATCCCGTAAACACCCACCTTGCACTTCGGGGCCCTGAGCCCAGCGCCCTGCAGCAGCGCCTGGGGAGAGGGGAGCCCTGCTTCCCCCCACGGGGGCTGCAGTGTCACCACAGTGGAGCCAGCTCAGGCCTCCAGCATTGGCAAATTTGACTCAGGCTGTGGGAAAGGCTTGTCCTTCGAGCCCCGGAGGCTCAGGCTGTCACAGCAGTCTTGGGGCACGTCTGGCGGCCTCTTTGGAGCCCTGATTCAAACCTGGAGCTCCATGAGCTGTGCTAGGATGGCCACAGCTCTACCAGAAGCTGGTGCCTGCCTGAGGGGAGCATGGCCCTGGGGACAAAGGCAGTTGTGGTGTCTTCCTTTGCAAGCAAGGGGCAACGCGTCTTGTGGAAATGTGAGCTCATGGGGAGGCTGGTGCTGGGGGTGCCCAGCCGGTGTGAAATTGAGGCAGTCCTGCAGTCCATGCTGCCAGCAGTCCTACCATGCAGCAGAGCTGGCCACACGGGTGCCCAGGAGGCACAGGGGTGGGGAAGACCCTGTGGAATTTGCAGCTAGGACCCTGGGCAGGCACTTTGTAGAGTGCCGGGGCCAGGTCACATCAGGTGCGGGCAGTCTGCTGACTCCAGGTGCATTGGCTGCAGTGGGACTCTGGGATCTTGCAGCAACTGCGATACAATGCAATGCGATGCTGGCTGGGGTCTCCTCAGCATGGTAAGCAGAGGGAGGCGTCACCTCTGTGTGCTGGACATGCTGTTGGAGGTGCCTCGTTTGCAAGAAGCAGCAGCCACCAGAAGTGCGAATGCCCATGTTGATATACCATGCGTAGTCTGAAGCAACTCGGAGGTCCTGGCAGCATGCATGCAGGGAAGGGCTGGGCTTGCACTGGAGGATGAGGACCTCAGGGACCCAGAGGATGGCCCATGCTGCTTCTCAGCAGTGTCCAGGGCAGGCAGGCTGCCCCCCAGGCTTTGCACCCTCCACCCCCGCTCTGCCGCAGGGTCTTGTCACGGATGTACCCCTGGCCTCTCCGCGGCTGAGCTGACAGGCCTGCAGGCTCCATGCCCTCTTCCCCGCCCGCTCAGCCTGCGTGAACCTGACCTAACCCAGAGCCCCTTGCATACTCGGGCTGGGGCTGGGCTGGGCTGGCTTCCTGTGGGCTTAAACCAGGCCAGGGCCCGGTGCTGCCCCCTCTCTCACTCCCTCCTTCCCAGGTCTTAATAAAAGCGAGGCTGCCAGCTCCTTCCCCATTAACACCTCTGCCGAGGAATTCGCTCCGCGCGCTGACCTGCCGAATTCCTTTCTGCTCCAGCACAGGCCGCAGGCCCCCAGGATGCACCAAGGGACTCGCAGATTAATATAGCATTACACATTCCTTCTTCTGCCCGCCTGCGAGCCTGCTCCAGCGCCACGCGGGCTGGAAGCCTGGTGGGGCAGTGGCAGGCAGGAGTGCTGCCTGGGCAGGAGCTCGGCCCCTGTGCAGGCCCGGGTGGGATGTGACCTGGGTTCTGCCACTGATCTCCCCGCTCCTCCACCCCACCCCCGTGCCTCAGTTTCCCTTCTGCTCTCCCACTGTGTGCACAAAGGGGCCAGGTCTTGATGAGGGCATGCATGTCACAAATGCCCATGTCCTTGCTCTCACTACACAGGGGCCAAGGGGATTGCAGCACAGTAAGACATAGCAGGAGTACATATAGCAGTGTTGGCTTTTTCAGGGCTAAATAGCACCTCCGCTCTGCAGCAGAGGTTGGGGGGGAAGTGCTGTGCCCCATGGCAGACAGGATGCAGGTGACAATAGCAGGAAAAATACTCATGTCCAGCAGGTGCCTCCCTCAGGCCATCTCAATGCTGGGGATCAGCCTTTGGGTACCCATATGTGGGGGAGGTCCCTGTTGCATGCAGCATGCGTGGCAGCGCAGGGCGTCATGGTGGCAAAGACTGCTCGTGCCCATGCTGAGCCCAAAAGAGACCCTCCTGTGCCAGGACACTGCTTCCTCCCTGGCTCGGAAGTCTGGTGGGCTGCACGCCAGACCGTGCAGTGGCCAGGTCACCTCAGCTGAGCATCTGGCCCCAGAACCGCTGCTGCCTGCCAGTGCTGCCCTGTTGTGCCCTGGTCCCAGGCAGGCCTCGAGGCTTCTGATAGGGCTGGGGGCCAAGTGGGTGATCCTGCATGCATACAAGCTGCCGCTGCTGCCAGCGTGACCCTGGGGCAGGCAGCACCCGAGGGCTTGTGCCTTCTGCCTGCCCTGCAGCAGCCTGGGCTCAGGGGCTCTGGGGTAGCAGCTGGATTGCAGAGACAGGCATCCAGGGAGGGATGAGCTAGGAGGAAATCAGGTGCCATGACTTGCGCCTGTCTTGCTCAAGGACAGAGATAAGGGCCCCGCGCTCAGAGATTCTGGGTGTATGCCCAGGTAAGGGCCTTATCTCTGCCCTTGAGCAACACAGGCGCAAGTCATGGCACCCAATTTGCTCCTAGCACATCCCCATCCCTCCCTGGATGTCAGGGAGCAAAGCCTCATGGGGCAAAGCCTTCCAGGGCCAAAGCCTGTGGGACATGCAGACCTCCATGCTCACGCTGCAGTGGAGGAACATGCCCCAGACCCCCTGCCTGCCTCTCATGGGAGCCCACGGGGTGGGTGGTGAGTGCCTCGCTGGAGGGCAGCAGGAGGGGTCTGCATACAGCAATGAGCATCCAGCACTGATGTCCTCTCTTCCTCTCTGTAGGCTCAGGCGTGTGCCCCCCCTGCGACAATGAGATGAAGTCGGAGGCCATCATAGAGCACCTCTGCGCCAGTGAATTCGGTAAGAGGCCGTGCATGACATCTGCATGAAGGAGAAGGCATCATCGGCCCTGGTGCCCCCCAGATCCCAGGTGCCCTCCTCCCCTTACCCATGTCTCAGCTCTGTCCTGTCTGCACTTGGGAGGCTGGGTGCAGTTATCAGGGGTGGGTAGCAGCTCCCTGCCCCAGGCCCCTTGAGCATGGTCTGCGGGGCTGGTGGGGCGGTCTGGTCTCTGCCTTTCACTTCCATCTCATGCCCTACAAGCAGAGGTGTTTCTGCTCCACAGGGCCCGTGCCCTCGGCCCTGGTCCCAGAGCGTGGCTGGCTCTGGATCAGCATGACACCACACTGGGTTGCGTCTGCTCTTGGTTGGGGGCATAGGGGCCAGACCCGCACCAGGTGCTTGGTGCTGCTAGAGCAGAACAGCTCAATTGACATGCACAAGGGACAGTGCAGTGGCAGGGGGTGGGGGTAGCCCCAGCCCCTGGGGCAGGCAGTAGGCAGGTACCAGGGCCTGTCCCCAGTGGGTGTTGCCCCACGCAGCTGGGTCGCTGGTGTGTCTCTGAACACGTGTGCCTCTCTGAACATGTGTGCCTCTAGATGTCACTGTTGTGCTGCCAGAGGTCAGTGGGGGAGAGTGGGATGACAGCGGATCCTGGTGGTCCCAGTGACTCAGGCACAGCCGCCTGTCCAAGGTGGCTCCATCCCAGGGCAGGGTACCTGAGCTCTGGATCCCAACACCCGCTGCGGCTGTGCCCAGCCAAGGCTCCTGGTGCAGTGTTCGCTGCTGCTGGTTGCTGAACGCAGCCTGGGCGCTCCCAGAGGGCTGCAACCCCAGCTGGGGCTGGCTTCTGGAGCAGTTGCCCTGTCTGGGCAGGCAGGCAGGCAGGCAGGAGGAGGGGGTTGAATTCAGCTGCCTCAGTTTCCCCAGGGAAGACCCCGTGGGCAGGGCTGCACAGCCTGAAGCCCTGCTCACATGGCCAGGGGCAGGCAGCGTGTTGGCAAGAGCCTAGGATGCCCCAGTCTCTGCCCCACACCCAAAGGCAGGACTGTTCAGCCAGGGATGTTATCTGATGGGCTGGGCATCACACACTGCAGCAAGGGGGAGAAGAGGCGGGCACGATCCTGGTCTGTGATGAGCGAGGAAATGGCCGGGCCTCCAAGGACCTTGTTAGGTACCGAGAGGACGCTGTTGGTCAGCATCCCTCTGCCCAAGAGTGCATTGGCACTACGTGGCCTTGCTGAGACCATCGCTAGGCTCAGAGGGCCACTCTGCCTTTCTCCCCCAGCCACTTGAGCAAGTAGTGGCCCAGGGTCAAGGGCTGGGAGTGCAGGGGCCTTGAGGGTGTCTTTGAGGCATCATCCCTCGGCAGGTCCAAGTGCAGATGCCTGAGGTGGGACCGGGGAGCTGCTTGAAGCAGTGACCCTGAAGCGCTGGATGGAGCTGTGCCGAATGCGGGCTGGCTTACCAGCGCAGTCAGAGGTAGACAGGGCTTCGGCAAACCTAGAGGGAAAAATCTCAGGCTGTCCAAATCGAACGCAGTGCCCAGCGGCTCCAACATCATCACCAGCCTGTGCAGCTCTCCTGACAGGTTGTGAAAGGCAGGCTGAGCAAGGTGCGCGTTCCCCTGCGTGTGGCCATTCCCCCACCTGCCCTGCCGGCTGTCCGCCTCCCTGCCTGCCGCCTCGCCTGGCCAGACCTGCCAGGCTGGAGGCCAGTTGGTTCCAGGACAGGAAAACATCAACAGGAACAGCTGGGCAGCAGCCTCCCAGGAACGCGTGGGCTGCCCGCCGGGTCCTGGAGCAGCCACGGCATCCAGGAGGGAGGTGGAGACCGGGGACCTGCCTAGCTCTGGACATGCGTGCTCAGGTGTCTGCTGCATGCAGTGCCCAGCTACAGCCCCCTTCTTGTGGGGCTCCTTGCCTCGGTGGGGAGGGGATGGGGCCTGGCAGGGGCATGCGGAGTGCCCTGCAGGCCAGATGCAGTGGGATGCCTTCTTGTGCCGCAGGGACAAGCAGGCCCCCATGGAGCTGGGGGAGGCGTACTGGGGGCTGCGCTGTCGTGCCGTCAGTGGGAGACCTTGCCAGAAGATGTAGGCCACTTGTAGGAAAACCTGTAGGCCACGGCCAGGCTGGGGGAGGTGGAAATGCAGTGGGAGTTTAAGCCAGCTCTGTATTGCAGCACAGACAGCTGAAGGCACATGAGCTGTGCAGACATGGTATCATCTCTAGAAACCATCCCATTCACAGGGCAAACAATCGGGGCACAGCCCAGTCCTGGAGAGCCAAAGGATGTGGTCCCACTGCCCCACTTCTCCCCAGAGACTCCTGCCTACCTCATCTCTTACCTGCGGGGCTCAAAGGGGCACAAGCAGGAGGAGAAGCATCGGTGCAATGCCAGCCCCTCACAGGGAGTCTGTCCTAGCCGGCCGGGGGGCACCCGCTAGGAAGGCGTTTGCTCTTGGAAGGCTCCTCTGAGGCCGCGAGCACACTGGGGTGGGTGTTTAGTCTGCAAGCAGCGCTGGAGGGCAATTGGCCACGGAGGATAGCTGTTGGGCATCGCAACAGTTACTGAGCTGCTCAGACCAGGGCTTCTCCTGAGCTCCCACCAGGGAACAGCCTGGGCAGTTGGCATGTTGCAGGCCCCTGCCAGTCCTGGTGCACGCAACGGGCTGCGACTCCAGCACACTAGCAGGGCGGCTGTCAGCAGGTCTCTCACCCCACTCTGTTCTCGCCAGCATCTCGCCCCATCGCTTCTCATGATCACACTGCCTCTGGTGCTTATGACGTGGGGATGCTTTGCAGAGTTGCGGCGGGAGTTTGGGTGGCTGTGGTGCAGTTGTAGCTGGGGAGGGTGGGCACAGCTGTTGGCGGCATGCAGTAATGCGATGCTGCTAGGACAGGGAGGGAAGAGTGCCATGTGCCACGTGTGCCCTGGGACAGGATCCAGGGTGCACCGGGCATGTAGGAAGACCCCTGGTGTGCACAGCAGGTTAGCCTGGCAGCAGGACCCTCAGGGGATTTTCCTGTGAGAGTTGCTGCAGCCAGTCCTTACTGAGTTTGCATACACAGACAAGGTCACAGCCTACGGAGATGAGGTCATAGCCCACGCCTGCACGTTGTTGGGGCAATGAGAGGAGAGCCCACAAAGGGCTCTGAATGCATGTAGGCTGGTGCAACCCAGGGCAGGAAGGCTTAGCTCACTAAGGGCCTGCTCCAAAAACTAGGGAAATCTCCCTTGGCCCCAGCCCCCGAATAACTGGGCTGGCTGGCACTGCACAAAGCAGGAAGGGTGCCCCGTGTCCACAGGAAGAAGAAGCAGCTCTGACTGTGGCTGATGCAGAGAGTGAAGGAGCCCTTGCAGCCTCCCATCTGTGGGAGCCGGGTGCTGCTCTTCCTTTGCACTGCAGCAGCGAGGTTCAAAGTGACCCGTGCAGGGATGTCTGCATGGGGCCACAGCACGAATGGGGCTGGCAGGGCTCTGGTACCAGCGCCAGGCCTGTGGCTGGAGCCTGGTCAGTGCTGGAGGGCGCCTGCCCCTTCTGCAGAGTGCCCCGTGGTTGGGGCTGGATGGGGCTGCCAGACCCCCAGGCTCTCTGCAGCCCCTGCACAACTCCCATGCAACAGGGACCCAGGGGTCTGAGAGGTGGGGTCGCCTCTGTGCCCCCTCCCTGCCACGCAGCCCTGGTTCCTCTCTCACCTTGGGCCAGGCTGGGCCTGAGGCTGCTCTGGGTGATTTTATTTACCCTTCCTGCCCCTTGTGCAGGGCATGCGGGGCGGGGGGCTCTTGTTGCAATGGAGACAGGCATCAGATCAATACACGCTATTTATTTTTCCCCTTGACTGACAGCCCCTTGCCTGCAGCCTTCTTCTCTTACAGCCTAATGTGTCTTCTGGCAGGTTTCCTCGTTCCAAGAGATTTTCGAGGCTGGAGCAGCAGCATTTTTCTGCTCCCTCTGTCTCTCCGCCCCCGCCCCTTGCAACCCAGGGGGCTGGAGTGGGGCCCTGCTGAGGTGCTCTGGGCAGCTGCCTCACAGCAGGAGGGCTCCCTGTGCCACTTGGAAGGCAGGGGCTGCTTAGGTGGGCAGTGCTGGAGGGTCTGAGGGCAGCAGCACGTGCCCTGCTGCCCCAAAATCTGGCGTGAGCTGATGCTCCAGCTCAGAGACCGTGTCTCGGGCAGGTTTGCTCCAGCCCAAGCCCCTTGCACCCATGCAATGGCTGCAGCAGAGCTAGGACCACGTCCATCTCTCTCATGCCGCCGATCCCTGCGGCAGAGCCCCATCCCAGCGACCCAGAGTCTCTGGCCTAGGGGAAGCAGCAGCCAGAGGGAGGCCAGGCTTTCTCCTTTGACAGCCTGAGCCCGCAGCCCTTATCGACAAGAACCGTGGCCAGTACTGAGCAACCCCTGGTGCACTGGACCCCAACCAACTCGTGGGGCCCCTGCTGTTCCTGCAGCCGCAGCTGCCAAGACCCGATTCACCCTGAGTGAGCAAACATTTCCCTATCTCCTGTTTCATGCGAGCGGAAATTGGAGCAAACACGTTGATGTCTTCTGCGCTCACTGCTCTCCCCGCGTCAGCAACAGTGGAGCCCTGCTACGATCTGATACGGGCCCTCAGCAGTCGGGGACGAGTTCCTGGCTTCAGTCCATGGGGGCTGCACATTGTCTCAGCAGAGGGACAGTCTGGCCCTGGAAACCCACTTCATGGCGGCATCACCACCCAGCCTCAGCAGTGGTGGCATGTCCCTCAAGCATGCACCACGTGTTTCAAAGGAGCCAGAGGACGGCCAGGAGGCCAAGGCAGGAGGGATAACTAGGGTCAGAGCTCTGGGGCCACCAGTCTGGGTGGTGAAGCTTGCCAGGGTGAGAGCCTGCATTTTCCTGGGGGTGGCCCTTGTCCTACAGGTCCATGTGGCCTGCTCAGGTTTGGAGCACGTGGGAGCAGCCCCCTGGGCCGTCGGCATGGGAGCCAAGGGGCCGCGGTGGGTCCAGGGCTGGCTGCGCTACAGACTGCCCTGGGCTTTGGCGCTCCCAGCCTGCAGGAGACTGCGGCCTTGATTTCTGGCGAGTGCTTCCTGGGGCCCTGGCGTCCGTTCCAGCTCCGCCGTCTCCACCTCCCCCTCAGCCCGAGATGGATTTGGGCTAGTGGTGGGGGAGCCACAGCACTGGGGTCCACGGGAAGGAAACTGTTTGTTTTGGCAGCTCACCCAGAGCCCGGAGCCAAGCCTCGCTCAGTCCTGATAACTGCCTTGATTTAGATCCTGCTCCTCCCCCCCTGGGCCAGGCTGGGGCGAAGGTGTTTGCTGGGGCCGGCGCGGGTATGTGCTGTGGGGGGGCTCCATGGCGCAGGTCTCACGAGGGCAGCTGTCGCTGGAGCTGGCGTTCTGTGCACAGACCCCAGAGGCTTCGCCCCGACGGCGGGGCTGAGGAAAGCTGCTCCCTCGGCACGTCTGCCCAGTCTGCAGCCCGGCGCAGGGAGCAGGGCTGCGGGTCTCAGATGTCGCGGTGGCAGTGACAGAGCCCGGCTCTGTGCTTTATCTGAGCAGGTGATGGCAACAAGCCCGTGCATGGGTAACGAGGTCTTCCCGGTGCCATCGCATTCCTCGGGTTTGGGAACAATCTGCTGCGGGGCAAAGAGCGGCCAGCCCGTGGCGGCATGCGCGTGGGGGAGTTCTCTGCCTACGAGTTACTTCCAGAAAGTTTGTCATTGTTGTGCTGAGCTGCCTTGTTGTGCACGGGCCATTGCCAGAAAGGTTTGTCCCCATTCATTGTCTTTGGTGTGAAGCAGCTTCCCCAGCCCTGCAGCATAGCTACATGGACCCTACAGAAGCTGGGGGCAGCACAAGGGAAGCTACAGCCTGACCCGTGCCTTGGGGCTCAGCCGTTCCTTTGCTTTCTGGACCTGTTGAAAACCAACCTCAGCTGAGCCCTTTAGCCCCTTGTGCATCCTGATTTCAGAAAACAAAATAGGAAGAAAGTTCCTCTCTGGTTTCTAGCGCGCTCCTCCTTTTCTGCTTGGCAACCGTATAATGCAGTGGGGCTGGCAGGCATGGTGGACGCTCCTGGCACACGAGCAGATAAATCCCATCACCACTGCTGCCAATGCAGTGGCTGGGAGCATGGGGGGAATAAATGTATCCTGCTGCCTTTTCAGGGTTGTCATCACCATCTCCTTCCACCCTGTGTGTCTGGAACGGTGCACGGAGCTGCCGTCCAGGACTCCACATGTACTGTGCCCTGGCAGCAGGGCCCAGCTGAGCAGCCTCCCACAGAAAGCCACTGCAGGGGCCCCCTCCCTGCTAGCACCACGAGCCCTCGCGTGGCTGCCACTGCTGCTGCCACCAGCGAGACCTTTCGGGCACAAAGTGGGAGGGAACCCCCTCCCCAAGCACGCTTTTCAGCGACCCTGCCGTAAACCCCCAGATGATGGAAAGATGTTAGTCATTCTTGGCCACGTGTGCTTCCCCCAAGGAGGCGGCGGAGCCAGATGGCACCGGAGTGCTGTGTTAATGCACAACACATTTCCCTGGCTGTTCCCATGCACGCTGCATTCCTCTCCCCGGCCGTGGCAAGGAGCATTCGTTTTGACTCAGGTTGCGATTTGCTCGGGAAGGCGTGGAGCCCGGAGAGGGGAACAGTTTCTATTGAAGTTGGATCGGATTAGCTCTCCTTCTCCAAGGGGAAGGTGCGAGCCGGCTGCCTGCGCCGTGCACCTTTGTTAGCGCCGTGCGGGGCTCCTTCCCCATTAGACACGCCTGTTTCCAAGGGGGCTTTGCTGCTCCAGCACAGAAACTTGCAGCACTTGGGAGCTGGTTCGCAGGCACCCAGGGGCCGGGGGCAGCTAAAGGAATATGCTGGAGAGGTGAAGTCGACCTTTTAAGTGACCCGTGCAGGCATCTTGCTTGGTGCCGGTGGAACAGGGAATAGCGGTGTTTATTCAGCTAACAGTTTGCCAGCAGAGAGCGCGCAGTGCCGGCTAAACAAGTCCCTCTTTCAAATCAAAAGCACCCAGCATGGGTTGAGGGACTGGGCTGCTCTAAGAGGCCTGGCCAGTCCTTTGGCCTGTAGCAGGGGACCCAGGCCCGCTCGCTGGTGTGGCGGGATGCTCAGGGTCACAGAGCTCTGTGGGGGAGCCCTGCGGTTTGTGGCTCTGGGGCTTTTGGCTTATGGCCTACACAGTGGCTCCCCCCCCCCCCCCCCCCCCGCGGCGGGGGGGGTGATTTT